TCTTTTCGTCTTAAGAAAAAAAAAATTAGTTCTCTTCATATAAGGTACCATATAGGTATAAGGTGTTAAGATATCATACACAATCTTTGCCATAGATACAAAGTATCTTACAAATTGAAATGTTTTATATCTGACGAAAAATAAAACATTTTATTGAAAAATAATATTTTTATAATAATTTTAATAATTTGTTAATTCTTTAGCTGCTATATATTGCCGCCTTTTCTGAATATAATAAATAAGGATGCTTTATATTTGATATAATGTACAACAATGTTATTTTACAGATGACCAGTTCGGAATATATATCGTTCGCAGCAGCTCGTCGAATTCAGGCAGCAAGTCCAGCTTGTTTGACTCGGAGAACTCCAGCAGTTATACATTTCACCAATAGTCAAAAGGTATCCAATGCTGAAAGAATCAAGAAAAAGGTACCATTCCCGGTTACCCGTCATGTCAAGTCCAAGGCCGGCGGTGCCGCCTCTGAAGAATAAGAGTAAAGACAGGCAACCACATAATGGATTATGTGGGTAGTAACGTTAATGTAGCTAAGTTTGAGGAATCGTGTGGTATAGGAGTAATACCTGATGTGGTACAGAAGTAGAAGGACTTTTCCCTGAACAAATAGAAGAGGAAGTCGAGAAGATCATAAAGGAACACAAAAATGAAATATTGGAAAAGAGGTGAGTGAATTTTATTTTAGTTATATATATTTAGTTATATGTAAAACACGCGAGAGAAATTGTTACTTTATAATTACAATTTATTTTATCTAATTAGGTAGCGCTTTAATTCTGGCCCATTGACGCAGCAAGTGCGCAATACTTTAAAATGAGTGGATGGTAAAGTGGTAAAGAATGAATTTGACGTGCAGTTTCTTGATCTATTGGGTCCAAAGATTGACGCTGATCTTGCACCAGCACTTAAACCAGCGAAACAGCCAAAGGACAAGCAGACAAAGGCAACGAAGCCAGAAGTTGCGAAGGAAGTAAGTTATATGTATTGCATATTTTTTTATTGTATTACAAGCTTAGGTTTTCCAAAGCAGCTTTATGCTGATACTTCATCTTTTGAGATTTTCTCTTACTCTATCTTATTCTATATTTTAACTCTTATTTCTTTTGTTATTTGCACTTCGATAAAATTATTATTATTAATATTTCTATTATTATTTACATATGTTGAAAAAATATTTTGAATGTTCATGTTCAACAGAAGATTGATAAATTTTCAGAACAGAAGGAAGCACTGAGCAGTGAGAAGGCAGGGGCGCAGACTATAAGCGAACTCATGAAGACCAAAGTTCACTTCCACAAGCCTGGGGAAAATTATAAGACTGACGGATACGTCGTGACACCAAATACGCATCATCTGCTGCAGAAACATTTGAAAGCCACTGGTGGCAAAGTGGTAACGAGATTCCCGCCGGAACCCAACGGGATTTTGCATATTGGGCATGCGAAGGCTATCAATATCAACTTCGGGTACGTATTATATCTTCTTTGGTCTCGAGAGTGAAATGTATGTACATTGTAAAAGAGATGAATCCCACAGATACGCTGCTGCTTACGACGGGCATTTGCTACTTGCGATACGACGACATCAATCCTGAAAAGGAAGAGGAAAAATTCTTCGTTGGTATACGGGATATGGTGGATTGGCTTGGTTACAAACTAGATGCGATTACACACTCGTCGGATTACTTCCAGCAACTGTACGACTGGGCCGTGGAGCTTATAAAGAAAGGTTTAGCCTACGTTTGTCATCAATCTAGTGAGGAAATGAAAGGTTTTAATCCTCCACGGAGTCCCTGGCGCGATGGACCCATCGAGGAGAGCCTGCGGCTGTTCAGTGTAATGAAAAATTTTTGTTTGAGCGTATTGTCCCCTCTTCTATAATTTATTACTATGGCTGCGTTTTACTTAACGCTCGCAACGCTCTTGAAATCATTTCATCCTTGTTTGTCAAATGTTAAACAAGGACAAATGATGACGCGAGCGTTTCGAGCATTAAGTGGAATGCAACCTATATATACATTTGCCTGTTTATTTGTCTTGAAATAATAGGATACGAAGGGTGGTATGTTGGAAGAAGGGGAAGCGACTTAGCGTATGAAAGTGACTTTGGAGGAAGGCAAGCAAGACTCTGTTGCGTACAGAATAAAATACTCGCCGCATGACCGAACCGGCGGCAAATGGTGCATTTATCCCACTTACGATTACACTCATTGCTTGTGCGACAGCATCGAGAATATCACTCATTTCCTCTACACAAAGGAGTTCCAATCACGAAGGTCATCTTATTATTGGCTGTGCAATTCCATGGACAATTATTGCCGTTCAGTGGAAATATGGCCGATTGAACGTCAATTATACTATAGTTTCCAAGAAGAAAATCGCTAAATTAATACAAGAAGGAATAGTGTCCGATTGGGATGATCTCAGGTACAGTGTAACGAATAATATCTTTATCGTATTAATGATAATTTCATACAAGGCCGATATATGTATGCAACAATTAGGTAGAAGCGGAAAGAGCCATACGGCCGAGATGTTGCAATAATATTCTTCATTTTTAATTTTTTAAATTTCTGGTATAGTGAACCGCGCGCCGATTGTTGGTCTTTACGAATGTAGTCATAACTTAAAGCTATCTATTAAATCGATATTCGATTTGATGATGCTTTACTAATTTTTGGTTTTATTGATGTGTCATCACCTTTTTTTTTTTTATAGATTGCTCACGTTAACTGCGCTACATAGACGTGGATTTCCGCCGGAAGCTATAAATAATTTTTGCGCTCAAATAGATGTAACTGGTGCACAAGCGACTGTCGATCCTGCAACATTGAAAACGGCTGTTACTGACGTTCTAAATCTCACCGCTCTCCCCGCATAACGTTATTACAACATAATCCGCATGAAAATTTACATAAACAAGTAAGAAAATCAGTGTAATAAATGTCTCATATTATGTATGATTAAATATTATAAAAATATTCAGGATTAATAAATATCTAAAAATAAATAAATATTGTTTTAGGCTTAAATACTTTTAATTCTTACAAAAAGGTAAGAATTAAATTATTCTGGTTTATGGTTGGACCAACAATCACAAGAGAAAACGAAGGTTACAATCAAAGAAAGAAAGAAGTCAACAATCATGGCCCAACCTCTTATAAGGGATATAGAGGGGTCAAGAGTAAATCAAATTGTCCGTAATCCAATTCGACTAAAATTGGAGGTTGTTGCAAGATACATAGAGCCTGAGTATGCCTGTCTAATGGCACTTGATGCTCTCACGCAGATAGACATTGTGATAACGTCAATCTGCTGGACCCTAAAATGGAGACCTGAGGATGTGCCTGTCTACCGTCTATCGTTAACAGAGGAACAACAGGCCAGATTAACCCGTTTAATGGCCTCATCGGTTTCGGATCACGTACTCATGTTCATAGGAATGGCGGGATTAATAGCAATGGCCGAGATTAAGCTCACGCAACCCAATGCCAAGTACATCTTTCTTTTATTCCAGTGGCAAGCACTATGTGCGACAACCAATATGGCCAACATATTTGAAAAGGAGATAGATTACGTCAAGCAAATGACTATTTTTCGTGCAATAGTAACCTGGCAGGCTTGGATTAGAACAAAGACCGAACTTCGTAGGACGCTTCTTAATCTAGTCCTCGAGGAGAACGATGAGAGGGAAGCTGTTGTAGTAGGGATGATTGATCGAGTAAGGATGATTCTAAAAGATTTTAACTTCAAGGTGCAAATCATGGAAGCATTCCCTATGACAGGGAGCAGTGCAGTTTTATTGCCAGCGATAGTGAGACAGGCAGTAGAACTGAGAAAGACCGTTTTAGCCCTCAAGGCACTGCACAAGGAAAAGTACCCCTACATCTGGGTGTTCCCTCTAGAGGGAGTGGATCGACTTCATCATCGCAATTATCCCGACCTTTTCTTTGCTGCTCTAAGTCTTGCAACAAAGGGCAGAGATCTGGGAGCAGTAGGCAGATGTATAATGTCTAATCTATCAACCACTATCCCCAGAGCAACTATCATAGAACAAATCAGCCAGCGCATAGAGATACAGCCACAACTGGATGAGGAAACTCAGAAGGGCTTGGAATACTTGGGACTGGATCCAACTCGCCTCTTGGAACAACGCGCTTCCACCCGACAACGAAGAGAAATTGAGGATGAGGATGAGAAAATAGAAGTGAAGGATGAGTATGAGGAAAGAGAAGTGAAGGATGAGTATGAGGAAAGAGAAGTGACGGATGAGGATGAGGAAAGAGAAGTGAAGGATGAGGACACGCCACCTCAGAAAAGGGTAGAACAGAACAGCCCGCAAGAGCACTTCTATTAAAACGAAGAACAATCTTTAATACGAAAGATTTATCTGACGAAACGTTTGCAAATAGGAAGAATAATAATTAAGGTTACCATGATGATTATTCTTTTAAATCCATAATTAAGAAATTCTTTTTATATATATATATAAATTTATATATATAATTATATATATAAATTTTTTTTATATATATAAATTATAGTTTATACGGACTGATTGTCATCGATTTCAATTGATGCTGATTTATTCAAACTGTTGTAAATAAATAATTTCTAACTTTGTAATATTTATCGTCTCCTACTTTAATAATTAATTTTATTCCAAATGTTATAAACCTTTGTTCAAAATAATGAATTATAACAAAAGTAATAAAACAAAAATTATATTCGTTCTATACACATTAACAAAATAAGGATTGTACTTGTCAATTAAATTAATCGGAGTTTGATCGAAAAATAAAGAATGGATTCCCAAGGATTCAATAAATAATTCTTTAATTAATTGATTGTGAGAAATTAATTATTAAAAATTAATTTCACAACTAATTGTTTAAAAAAGTAATTCTTAATAAATAACTGATTAATTCTTTGATGCGATTGAAAATATTTAATTTTCATTCGTCAGAGACCAATCCAGCTCGAGGAGACAGTATGTGCGCGGTGAGCTTAAAGCTAGCGCGACTCGTGGTGAGTTTTGAAGTAAGCTTAAGCTTCGTTTACGACGCGTTGGTGCGTACAGACCGTACAGTGTATGTATATACTTTGTAAATAACATGCTCTTTTAAAGCGCGACGCGATCCGTGCGGGCGTAAGTCAGGTGGGAAACGCGAAAATATCTTGGCGGAGATGATGTTCAGCGATGTCTGCCAACTGAATGAGAGGTAGCGCCGCAAAAATGACACCTAAACGGAAGGCAAGTGTATTTGCAGGTTATGGCATGTGAAGAGATGCGAACTTCTGCGCGTCGTCCTTACTCGCCGTCACGATGACTTGGTTCCTTGTTTTCCTGTTTTTTCTTCGTCAATTTGAAAATCATTGATTCTCCAATCTTTTCGTCTTAAGAAAAAAAAATCCTAGTTCTCTTCATATAAGGTATCATATATAAGGTGTTAAGATATCATACACAACCTTGGCCATAGATACAAAATATCTTACAAATTGAAATGTTTTTATATCTGACGAAAAGTAAATTAAAAAACTTTATAGAAAAATAATGTTTTTGTAATAATTTTAATATTTTGTTAATTCTTTAGCCTCTATTACCGCCTTTTCTGAATTCAATGAATAAGGGTGCTATATATTTACGGATGAAATGTACAACACTACGTCATTTTACAGACGACCAGTTCGGAATCCACATCGTCGAGCAGCTCGGGCTCCTCGTCGAGCAGCTCGTCGAGCTCGGGCAGTGAGTCCAGCTCGTCCGATTCGGAGAACTCCAGCAGTTCCGCCAACAGTCAAAAGGTGTCCGATGCAGAAAGAACCAAGAAAAAGGTGCCGTTCCCGGTCACCCGTCATGTCAAGTCCAAGGCCGAAACAGCGGCGGTGCCGCCTCTGGAGAATAAGAGTAAGGACAGGCAGCCACCGAAGCCCAGATCGTCGGCGTACTCGTCCGAGTCCGAGGAGTCGCCCAGCAAAGCGAAGTCGCCGCAAAAGCGGAAGCCACCGGCTAAACCGAAAGCCACCGCTACCGTGGCACCAGTTGTCAAGACGCAGAGATCTCCCACAAAGCCAGCGCCTGCGTCGGGACAGCACAAAGCTGCACCCGTTTCAAAATCTGCCAATGCCAAGCCTAATAAGTTTTCTAGTGAGTTCGCCATTCGGATTTTGTTTAAATATTTTATGTTCCATTTAATAAAATATGTTTTTGTGCAACTAAGGCCTGTTTGCATGTTATTTTGACTTTAAGTGAGGTTTAAAAATCTGTCTTATCTTTCTTTAAAATCTTGAAAGAGAAAGAGAGAGAAAAAGAGAGTTTTAAGCCTTGCTTAAAATCAAATTAATGTTAGTTCAAAGTTTATTTTTCAATAGTGGAATAAGTTTAGCCTATTTGAACAAAATGAATCTCGGTGCCTAATATTTTTGCGTGAATTTATATACATTTTTTAGTTCATGTAAACTGCTTCGTACAATATTATTAAATTGTTTGTCAGTTTATTTCGTGACATTACGACTCCAGCTTTAATTTAGAATTGTGGATTTTACTTGATGTTCGCAACGCTCGTGAGCATCATTTGACCTTGTTTAGCATTTGATTCAAGAGCGTTGGAAGCGCCAAGTGGAACGCATAGATTTACTCTATTGTTAGCCGTGTATTTACATATTCAATTTCCCTTGTTACTACACATATGTTTCGAAAACAATAGATATTTGACTATCGATATTTTCAGGTTCCACGAGCGCCAACGGTAAACCTCCCGAGAAATCCGGGAAAACGATGGAACCGGTTCAGAAGAAATTGAAGAAAAGTATATTCAGCCCGGAAAATAGCAGCGAAAGTGACAGCGGCGTTTCGGCGAAAATTAGTGCAATAAAGGCAACAAGCTCTGCAAAATGTTCCAAAAATCCACCGGCCAAAGCGAAATTGAGCGACACCAAGCAAAAACCCGCAGCAGCAAGTAGACCCGGTAAATAATTCTGCCTCACTTATACATATTAAGAAACACAAATATTTTGACTTAAATTAAATATAATGTAACTTTTAAATTGTTAAATATAACTTCGACACGCTATTTTCTTACGTTTATCATTTTCTGTAGTCGCGAAGCCTGTGCAACCACAGAAGTCGGACAGTTCGGCGAGTTCAAAGAGCTCCGGCGGCTCGGCGTCTTCGGGCAGCTCGGACAGCAGTTCCGACTCGGAGTCGTCCGAAAGCGTCACCAGCTCTCAGCTTCAACCGAAAAAGAAGGAGACGCAATCTAGTGCACTGACGAGTAGTGCTGTAACGAGTGTGCCGCCTAAGAGGCCCTCGGCGACAGTCGCCCCGGTAAAACCGCAGAAAGCAGTTACGAGACGGCAAGGTTTGTTAAATTCCTTTGCCAGATGCGTTGATTAAAGAAGAAGAAAGGTATGATTTTTCTTAATCATTTCGTTAAACAGGTGCTTTAAAGAGCGACAACGATGGAGATGCATCCGCGAGTGAGAAGGACATGGACGACCGCGAAGCGTCGTCTTCGAAAACGATGGCGAAAGGCAAGCGGAAGCTGCAAACGCGCAAAGGAAGTAAATTGCTCCAGCTACAAGCGAAGGCGGACAGCGATTCCGAGTCTGATACAGGTATAGGGGTATCTCGATAAAAGTTTCATACTAGTTTGATTATTATTATTTTTTTTTTTTTTTAATTGATTTTATCCTAATTTCAAGTTCTTTTGCTCTCAGCAATGATTTTCTATAAAAATTACATCTTATTCACAGGTTTCTATAGAATACCCTAGATCGCTAGCTCCGAGAAATGAAGCGAAGCCGAGTAACTCAGGAGAGGGGATAGTGGCTATCTTTACTTAGTGATGAATTACATTCCAAAACGTCAGTCAAAAGTTTAACCTATATTATTAAATGCACAGTAATGCTACTTCATGAAGTACTGCTTGTGATCACTGGGTACAAGTATGGCGTCCCGGCTTCAATTCAACTGACAAACTATAGTACGTTAGCGATCTAGCTATTCTATAGAAATCTGATCTTACTACACACTCATTTTTTATTCGAGTTTTTTTTTTGCTCATGATGGTACCACAATATTCTGGTAAAAATACGATAGCATACGAGTGTACTCGTAAATTGCACTAATTCTGATTCGTTGAGAGTAGCTGAGAGCAAGAGGAGCGCGAGCAAATCGCCCGTCAAACGCGCCGGGCCGTCCGCTGCCGCCAGACAATCCTCCGGATCCGGTAGATCAACGCAGAACAGTAGTGCCTCCAATACTACAAGTAGCAGAAATCAGGCGTCTTACACTCGAGCGCGAGCAGCGAAGGAGCGTGAGTGCCCGCTGGCTGCGTCCTGCGATTCGCGGGGTCACCTCTCCGGAAAGCTCGATTCGCACTTTACTCTGGAAGCGTGCCCGCTGTATCACAATACCACGCCCCAGGCTTGTGTGTAAGTTGCATTCCGGATTCTCCGGTGGTTGAGATTGATAGTGATGTTAACCTTCAAATGGCACACTTCTTTCGAGCGTCCACTAATGGAACACTGGTGCCGCGATTATCCAGCGAATAGCCGCGACAGATACTTTGTGAAAATGTCAACATGTCAAAAATTTTCGCGGTGCGAATTCGCACTCTTGTATTATTTGAAGATTAAATTAAATTGAAAGACACATGTGTTGATGGCAATTACATAAAATGATACTGGCTTTTCCAGAGAGTTCCATAAAGAGAGAAAGAAACGGGAGGACGAACGTAAGAAGGCGATAATGAATCTAGCCAAGAAACCCAAGGGCGTTCATCAAACTACCGAGCAACGCAATTATCAGCTTAAAGTGCGAGAGATGAGGAACAAATGGAAGGGTAACACCGGCGACGGTAATGAAAGCGACAGCGGCGGTGAATTGCAGGGGAACGAAAAGGACAAGCAGCCCCGGCTGAACAATCTCACACCTGATTATGACTTGAAACTGTTTATGGAAGCCCAGGCGATAGCCAGTGAAAAAGTCGTAAGTATTCAATTTATATCGCGAGTAATATAATATTACATCACAAATAATTGATATCTAATTAGAATTTAAATTGTTATTTTTATTATTTATTATAAATATAAATTTTAATTTTGATATAACGTTTTTTTTCAAGTGTATACAACTGCGTTGATAGAAAAATAACACTAAAGTCTTTAGGATTGATTTCCTTTCATTACCTCAAAAATACCCATTTTTGACTTGTCATTTTTCTATCAACGCAGCGATATTGCGCTTTTCTGCTATACATGAATGCATATTTTACATTTAAGGAAAAGGAGTTGCAAGAATTGGACTACGATGGAGAAGGTAGAAACGGTGGTGGCACCAGGGTCGTGGAAATGGGAAAATGGGAAATGGAAGTTTGGTATCAAAGCCCATATCCCGAGGAATATAGCCGTGCCCCGAAGCTTTATCTTTGCGAGTATTGCCTGAGGTATGCGAAAAGCCGTCAAGTTTTGAGGAGACATCGAGAAAAGTGTTTGTGGAGGCATCCACCAGGACACGAAGTATACAGGTAAGCATATTCCTCGTAAGCATACATAGATAAACTCACGTTTTATATCACAAGACATTTTTAAAGATAAAACAAGATAATTTTTTAAATAAATATCTACGAAATATCAGCGAATATAAAGATTAAAGGATATTAACAATAAATAATTCAATTTCTCTCTTTAATATTTCTTTTTATAATATTTCGGAATACATTTTTTGGCTAAAGTTATGCAACGTTTATAATACAGATGATCTGTGCGATCCAAGTTATCAGCATGTCTCATTTGTCGTTTTACAGAAAGGACAAGATAGGCGTATGGGAAGTGGACGGTAAGCGATATAAGCAGTATTGTCAGAATCTCTGCCTGCTGGCGAAATTCTTTCTGGATCATAAAACGTTATACTACGATGTCGAGCCGTTTCTTTTCTACGTCATGACGATCGGCGATTCTGAGGGCTGTCACACCGTCGGTTACTTCAGCAAAGTGAGTACATGTCTACCCAATGAAATTCACCATATCGAATTTTCGGTGTTCGATTCGTGTGGAAATATTTCGTTAAATTGTTCCGCGTTGTTGTCTCTCTCGAATGTCGAGATTCTAACTGTATAAGAACATCGCGCCGTAACGAACGCGCTCTCGCGAAGCCCCCGAAGGCATCGAAAGTCTCCCGTCAATCCGAAATACGACGGAGCCCCGACGTGCTCCATCGTTTGCTCTACAGTGTCTACACGATCCCGGGACTTTCTTTCCGCGGCTTAGCCGGCTCCCAGCCACCCTCCCCCTCCCCCTTCCCGTCGCCCCTCGTAATGGCATCCACGTAGCGTGCACGGATTACGCGAACAAGGGTGCGCCTCGTAGAGAAGAGGGTGTCTCGTATCTCTGACCTTTCTTCACTCCCTCCTCTCCCCTTCCCTCTCTCCTCTTCTCACCTCCCTCTCGTCGCCGCCGCCGCCAGACCTGGCGTACGCGTACACACGTTGCCCCCGAGGAGAGCGGAGCGTGGGTGGGAAACCACGCACGCCTATTTACCGCGGAACACAGCATCGCCGGGAGTCTCGAAATCTTTACCGACGTTCAACGACCTCTGACCCTGGCAAGACGCGCCGCCAATCCGCGCCTCCGCTCCCCCCCGGCTCTATCCAACCCCTTTCCTCTCTATCTCCTTTCCCCGTTCCCTCTTCCTTCCGTGAGGACGTGGCGAAAATTTTCTCCGCGGACTCGACCTTTTCCCTCGTCCTCCCTAATTCCTTTGTCTCTCGCCCGGGGGGGACGTCTATCCCTCCGCGCGACCGGCGATCCGTCTCCGTCTCGAGAAACTTCCTTTCTTCTATTTCTCTCTCTCTCTCTTTTTCTTTCTCTCTGTTCTACAGAGAAAGAAATCCCCGTCCGATGAACGCGGAGCGAGATGAAAGGGTGGATTATCCGTTCTACAAATTGTTGACGCCAGCGTCTTGACGAGCGGACCGTTTTGTCAGACCTTCAGCACTTGTCGTTCAATCGACTCGATTGTCTCATTTCGTTCTATTATACAGGGCATCGTACTATCCCGCGGACTCTCTGACCAACTTCGGAGTCGATGTCCCCTCGGAGAGGGAGAGACTCGAGGCGCGCTTATAGTCGTTATAGTTCGATAATTAGCCATTCCGCAAATCGGCTGAAGAATGCGTCGTCAGAAAAGTGATTAAAGTGGGACATAGAATGTTTTTGATCGATTTTTTTTCTCTTTGACTCATCGCTTCTGAACGAATGGAGTGTCGCAAGTAAATTTAGAAATTTTTCGTTTCTTACTTTTTCGCAGCCGGAAATTCAATTTCAGTAATTTTCATTCGTCGCGTTTATTGAGGCGCGTTTAATTGATAAAAAGTAAAAGAATCTCAGAGACGATCAGTAAAAAGCTTGTGTCAGACCACGCATTGGAGATTGAGAATTGCGAATTACAGATTAAAAAATTCAACTAATTAATACAAAACGGATTAAAACTGAAATCTGATTGGTCAAATTGTAATCTTCAATTCGCAAATCTCAATCTTCAGTGCGTAATCTAAATTCTAAAGTATACGAGCTTAATTGGCTCGATTGACGTACTTTTGCATTGCGATGCGAATTCATGCAATCGACTTGTGCGCAATCGATCGAAGACGTCACGCTTTGACAGCACAAATTGCATGAAACATCTAATCTTTTATCGTTACCGCCGAGGGTGTCGAATCGCGTTATGTCCCGCGTACAAGAGGGCGTGTCCCGACCTCCGTGAAATATTCAGTTAAGTCCCCGAAGTATTCCCTTCGTTCAGAATTACATCGTGGCATACGTGAGCATCTCCTCTCTCTCTTTCTCTCTTTCTGTAAATCTCGTATACGAGCCACTTACCCCTCAATCTAAAATTATGTTTCAACTTTAAATGTCAGTTTCAACGAGGATATAATTGGTGATGCCTTTAAGCGGGACCGTTCCGAATCTCGAAATAATCGCGTCGTGCGTCACACTCTTTGATCAACTTTCGGATAAGATGCCCCCTTAAATCGGGAACAATGCCCTCTGTCGTATCTATACCTCGAGATCCAGGACAGAGGTATATATATGTAATTGCGGGCACACGTTACACGCTCGCGCTCGCGCGCGCGCACGCGCGCGGATACGGATCCCTTTACCTGCGAAAATAGACTGACATTGGTTCCCGTTTCACGGGTATTAATATCTATTAATATCGACGGCGATCGCGTCCCGACGCATCTCCTCTGCCGGCCGACTGGCAAATTATGTTACACTCCGTATAAAAGGGCGTAACTCGCTTCCTGCATCCGCAGCGGTGGCAGGCAGCGGCGGGTGGTGGCGGCGGCGGCGGCGGTGGCGGCGCGAAGTCAAAATCTTTATAGACGTTCAATGACCCCGACCCTGGCCAGACGGTCGCAGGGTAACGCCGGCGGTGGCGGTGGCGGCGGCGGTGGTGGTAGTGGTAGTAGTAGTAGTGGTGGTGGTGGCGACGGCCGGGACACGAGGGATGAAGGGTGCGAGCGAGAGAGAGAGAGAGAGGAGCGCGGTGCGAGAGAGGGATGAGGGTGGCCCTGCTGCTGGCGTACGTACGCTATGCACGCTCGCTTCAGTAGACCAGGTGGAGAGAGGAGGGTGGTGGCGCAATGGGGCCAGGGGAGGAGGGTGGTCGGGGCGGCTGGGTGGTTTAGGCGGTTGGCCGATGGCGGGTGGCCCCGGAGAGGTGGTAGTCGCTGCCGCGGAAGGGGTTGTGCCGACGGTTGCGGCGGCGGGTGTCGGCGCAGGAGGGGAAGGAGGGCGTCGCCTGCCGCGTCGGGTCGTCAACCTTTCTGCGGCACTGCGACGTCGTCGGGGTCGTTATTATTTCCTCCTCTCTTCCCTCCCTCCCCCCTCCCGCTCCTCTTCCCCGCTCTCCTTCTCTCATCCTCCTTCTGCATGGGTCCCAGCGTGTCTTTGCACGCTCTAGTCGTCGTCTCTCCATCGCTCTCCTTTCCCCCGTCCTTCCGGTACCACCTTCTTCGAGGTGGCGCGTGTTGTTCTCCTCCTCCCGCGTCTTCTCCCCCCCTGTGTGTGTGTGTGTGTGTTCCGTCCTTTCCGTTCGGCTCGTCTTAACACGCTCCTTCGGCGCTACCCTCCGGTGCTTTCGATCCATCTTCGTATCCTTTCCTCGTTCGTTCGTTCGTTCGCTCGTTCGCTCGCTCGCACGGGCTTCCGAGGTCGCGCGAAGATCTCTCGCCTTCAACGATCGCTCATGCGTGTACACTCGTTTTCCCTCTTTCTCTCCCGCTTTTCTCCACCTCGGATATAAGGTAAGCAGTTCGCGCGCGCGGCGGTGCAGCGTCTTTTATCTTCACATTCTACTTGTCTTCTTACACAAGCTTCTTGTCTCCTCCTTTCTCGATCCATCTCCTCTTGTCGCACGCGCGTAACTCTCGCAATAATCATTCACGCGAGAGCTTGCCCGATTACTCTTCATATTCTTCATATCGCCTTAGCGTGTTCAAAATATTAACGTTATGATAATATTAATGAGTTTAAAGTATAACGTAAATATATTGACCGTTTCGAACGCCATTCGGCTAACGAGGAATTTGTTGTCAACGCCGACCCGACCGACGTGAGACTCGGACGCTTACCGCTAAACTCGAGGCGGATATCTGAGCCTCTTTACATCCACGATTACACCGTCCTCCGTCGGTCGTCCCGTTCTCCTCCTTCACCGATCTTTCTAATACGACACCGCCGCTCGATCGCGGTGACTATCGGAGTCGATATTGAATTTCCAAGCGCGTCCGCCTGTCTTTGAGCGCCCGCAACGTTCCACCGACCGGTTTCGCTCGCTCGGCTTCAACCCCTCCGTTCCCCGCGTGTGCTCGCGTTTCCTCGCGTCGAATTTCATCCCTCTCACTCCGCGCACTCGCTTTTCCATCATTCTCGCCGCCGTCGCTGCCGCCGCCGTCGCGATAAACTGCAATGTCGCCGTCTCACCTTGAACCGTTGCGGAACAGCTATACCATCATCTCGAGTGGCGAGATCACCCGAGATTTCTCAGAGTGGCCGAAACAGTAGGAATATATATTGCTCAACTTCCCTCTCCCGCTCCTTTCCGTCGAATAGTCTCTCTCTTTGAGTGGTAGAAATCGCCGGGGAATCGCGAGCGGACCACGCTTCGCGACATCCGGACCCTGGATTTCATTGACCATAACCGGCGTGGGTGTGGATTAGCCGGGGGATGGTATCATTCCGCCGTCATCCCCGCCGGTCTCCGGATTACGAGCTGTTCGTCTTCCTCCCGATCCCTGCGGACGCAAGGAGAATGACGGAGTTTACACAGCTGGCCGGCGGGGAAAGACGGCCGTTTCTCGAGGATGAATTCAGTCTCAACAGTCTTGCTCTATAGCATCTTTTCTTTTCTTGCACGACTGGAAAATCACGCAATTATTTTCAATTTATATATAAGTATAACGAAAGAACGACGATATTTTATTACGCGCCTCGAGATCGGAGTCTCTTCCGGGCGACTAATAAGAGTGCCTGCAGGAATCAAACGCACAGGCTGCAATCACAATCTACTCGCGCAGGATATATATAGTTATATACTAATGACAACGTCGTTCAGTCCAGCGACTCGAAGGTATGTAGGTACGTACCTCCGGATTCAAGCTTCTGTTCTCGATTTTACACTCTCGGGAGTCTTTCTTATATAAAGATACATAGAAACGACGCAATTTAAATCCCCCAACATAGTTCAGAATCATCGTTCGTCACAAGTCCCGCATCATCTCTGTCGTAAAAGTTGTCCGATTCTCCGCCCGCCCTCCCCCCCTCTTCCTCCTCCTCCTCGTCGTAACTTGACCTTGTGACTATTCGAACCATTTCGACATTTTAAACGCGACGCGGTCGTTGACCTCCCCGGATAACTCGGTCGTTGACCTTGAGCCATCTCTGGCCGTTGACCTCGCGGGTGCGTCGCGGCCGTCGACCTTCGGCCG